CATCAGCACCAGGCCAGGCTGGGCAGTGCCAGCCTGGGGACCAGCCACACCCACCACTCAAGGCCAATAGGGGCCATTCAGAGCATCTTGTCGGACCTCCCCCATCACGCAGGGGGCAACACCTCCCCCAGCGAGTTCTGCTCCACCCCAGAGCAGAGCTGAGGCAGAGTGGGCAGGACAGGGACGGGTATGGGCACAGGGACGGCTTGGCTCCCCTCACTTGGTTGATGGCCCAGGAGGGAACATGCTCCACGCCAGCAGCCACATGGCTTGTGTGGGGGAGACCCGTGTCCACCAAGCCGCATAACGTGGGAGGGGCCAGATGTGCCACTGTAGACAAGGAGAGCGCAGAGCCCAGAGCGCCAGGTGCTGCCGCCACACGACGGCCCCGCAAAGCTTGCTCTCGGGCTGCTGGCTCCCTGGCAGCTGGGGCGCAGGGGGTCACAGCGCCAGCCCAGTGACCCATCTGATCGCTGGGCTGGTTCCTCTGGCATCAGAGGATGGACCCGGCTGTTCCCTAAGGGCTTGGCTCCACCCTGAGCCAGGTGCTCCACCCAGCAAGGCAGGGAACGCTGCTCCAGCAGCCAAATCTGAGAGCAGAGCAGGGCTGTGCCAGGGAGAGGGGCTGCTTGGGTGCAGGATTCTCCACCTCACCAGAGCCGCCAGGCCAGGTGTTACGGCCTCTTGTGTGACTCGCTAGCAGCAGGGGGCACCCTGCCAGGCCCTGCTCCATCCCTGCTGCACTGGGATCCCCTCCTTGCAGGCACAAGGGCTTTGCTCGGGGGGGGTTCTAGCTCTTTCTGTCCCCTCCCAAGCCGGGTGCCAGCCTCCAGCCCCGCTAGTGGGACCAGGGTTTGGACACTGGCCCAAGTCTGGCCCAAACTGCCATGGGCAGGAGGAACCGGGGATGGGAAGGACGAAGGTTTTGGAGCAGGGAGCAGGACCCACCACTCCCATGGGAGGAGCTCCAGGGCAGGGCCCATCACTCACGTGGCTGAAGAGTTCATTGGTCAGCCCCAGATAGTTGTGGAGGGCCAGGAAGGTGACCCGCTGCAGACGCACCATGATGATCTGGAAGGGAAGGGGAGAGTCTGAGCGTGGGGCACAATGCGGGGGAGGGGAGGGGGTCAGCACATGGGAGGGGGGCCAAGGCCACACTCACCTGCACCACCCGCACCAGGCTCTCGGGGTACTTCTCGAAGACGGCAGAGAAGGCCTCGACTGGCAGCCGCAGCACTGTGGAGTCCTCACCTGCCCGCGCAGACACGGTCCGGTACGGCCGCTGGTGCCCCTGTTTGAGAACCGGGTGCCCATGGGTCCCTGCACCAAGGCTGGGGTGCCCCTGCCTCCTCCTTTGGGTAGAGCAGCCTACCAGTGGGGGGCACCGCCAAAGACAGCCAGGGATCCGGGGGGCTACCCCATGACTTCAGGCCAAAAGGTCCAGAGAGTAGCCTACAGCCACATTCACCTGAGCCCAGCAGCCAGCCAAGGCTGAGACCCAGGCCCTGAGGAGGAAAGATTCATCTCCTCTAGACCTCGCGTGGGGCAAGGTGGCAAGCACGGGGCAAGGTGATGGTGGCATGTCACCACCTGGGACCCAGGCTGCAAACCCATCACGGGATGCGGGGGGTCAGGTGGGCTTACCACACATCCCACAGGGCCTACCCGGATTTAGCCTTTTGATAGGGACCCAGGGTTAGGAGAACAGGGGGTTGCGGATCGGGATTGAGGGGCATGAGCAGAACTGGGGGGAGCCCATGGCTGCCAGTCACTCAATGAGCTGGACTACTCACTCCAGCACCAGAGGGGCGGGGGAGTGGGATGGGTGGACGGGGCCAGCAGGCCAACAGGTGGTGTGGGGGCAGGGCTGGTACCGTGATGACGTCAAGAATGCTGAGCAGGCTGTGCACACTGTCCCCGGGGAACACCTCCTTCACCAGGGTCTCCTTCCCGTCCTGCAACACAGCAACACCCTCCTTAGGGGGCCCCCATCACCCACCCTCGCCATCCCTGCCACCAGAACTTGCTTGGCACCAGGCTCTGTGGAGGCCTGCTCCATGAGCCCCTCCCTGGAAGGGAGGCAGCCCCAGGGGAGCCTCCATGCCTACAGCCACAGTGATCCCGAAGGGCAGGGCTGCTTGGCAGCTGGCCTCAGCCATTGTGTCCCATATGCCCCTCTGCCCCAAGGTGTCCCCAGGTGCAGGGGACCACCCAGCCAAGGGGTGCAGAGCACTGGGGCCACAGGTGGCTTGGGGCAGGAGGGGTCGCTGGTGGCTGGGCAGACAAGTGCCTCCAGCAGATGGACACGGCAGGGTGGGCTGGGACATGCCCCCCTCACCTGCTGGGTCAGGAAGAGCTCCAGCTTGCCATCCTGCACCACGTAGATGCTGGTGTCGGGCTGGCCAGGCCGGAAGACGTACTCGCCCTGTTGGAACTGCTGGAAGATCATGTGCTTACAGAGCTCCAGGAACAGTGGCTTCTCAAAATGGCCCAGCACCCTGCAAGGAAGGGCGGGTCACAGTGGGCAGCAGGGGAGCAAAGCCTTCAGCAACTCATGGCAGGGAGTTGGGGCTCATGTCATGAGGGGGCCTTGGGGCCCAGCCCAAGCTCCTGCATCACATGGGCCAGAGCTGGCTGGCTAGGTGGGCTCTGTCAGTCATCCCCCCACCCCCCATCTCCATGCATGGGGGGAGTGGAAGTGGCCCCAGAGGGTCAAGCCTCCAGTGACACTACCCTGCTCCAGGATCCCAGTGCCCACAAGCTATCACCCCTAGGGGCAGATCTCTCCCCGTTCCCAAACACAGCCACTTCTGGGGAAGAGTCTGTCTGATGCAATAGCCCCACAGCAACACTGCCGTGACTCAGCCAGGACTAACGCTGTGCTGGTTCCCACCACGAGCCCACAAGGACCAGCACCCAGCATTTGCTCTTACCCAACAGAGGCTGCCTCCAGCTGCCCTGCCCTGTGGAGCACTAGCTCTCTATCAGCCAAGAGGGAAGAGTGCCCCCTACTGGAGAACCAGGGCCACAATTCCTGCTGCTCCAGAGCATTCTTGGCAGCTCTCCCACCTATGGTCCGACTGGGCTGGAGCCTGCACAGCTTAGACTAGTGGTTCTCAACCTGTGGTCCGCAGACCCCTGGGGTCCACAGACTATGCCTAAGGGGTCCACAAAGGACAGGCTAAAACAAACTGAACAGAATTCAGCTGTATATACAGACAGATTTCCCAAGGGGTCTGCACCTCCATTCAAAATTTCCAGAGGGATCCGCAAATGAAGAAAGGTTGAGACCCACTGGACTAGATGCTCTGACAGGCTCACACGGTGTCCAGGTTTTCCCAGGACCATGCTGGGAAATCGGTCGGACAGAGCGCTCCATTACACACAGCCAGCTGGCCAGGTCATGGGCTCAGGATCATCCTGGATTTCATACCACAGAGGGGCCCACCCTAACTCAAGCTTGCTTGCGGGGAGGGGGAAACGTGGCTGCAGCTGAGCCTGGGCTCTGGGCCCCGCTGCATGGGGGCACTCACCGGACGTTCTTCAGCATGTACAGCACCTCGGACGGCAAGTGGGAGTTGGCCACGTCAAACTCAGTCAGATCCGCTTCCAGCACTGAGGGCGGCGGCTCCTTCAGCTGCAGGATGGGCAGCTCCTTCTTGATGCGCAGGATCCTGGGCACAGGGACAGACGGGGAGGGGATATACGGGGCCAACCAGAGAGTTGCCTGCAGGGGCAGATTCCCCCACACACACCCAGGGAAGAAGAGAATCTGCATCATGCATCAAGGAGGCAGGACTTGTTCCTGAGCCATGGCACTCACTCATGCCAGGGCCCTGAGGCCCAAGGGCCCCACCCAGGGAGCTGAGCAGCACCATGCCACAGGCTGGTCCGGTGCCGGTCAACTGCTCTGGGGGTGGGTTCTCCAGGCTGGTGTGCAGCTGCTTTGCAGAGCAAGGGGAGGTCAGAGTTAGTGCTAATGGCTTGGGGGGGGAGAGGAGGTTTACTACCCACTCCCGCAGCAGGGCTGGGAACATGGGTGCCTGCACTAGCCCTCGTGGCAGGGCTGGGCCAGCCCCAGGTGTCTCACACCATGGAGGGTGAGCGAACCCACTTACTTTTTGGCAATGTTCAACATCTTGAGCTTCTTCTTCATGCGGGGCCGGGAGGTGCTGGAGATTGTTGTGTCCACAAGGGAGGAGGTGGATTGGGACACCTGCAGAGACAGCCCAGGTAAGCCACCAGCTGCTCCCGCGGACAGCGCCCACTGGAGCCAGCCATCTGGGTGAGGAGATTTGGTACTCAGCCAACCACGTGCTGCCAGCGAGCCAGGCAGGAGACAAAGCAGGGAGCCGTGCCAGGACACCACGGCCCCTGGCACCACGTGCCTGGCTCTGTGCCCGCAATGGGGAGTCCTCATGGAACTGGCCTTCTCCTGCAGGCCACCCCACCTCCAACGCCAGCCCTCCCAGCTCCTGGTGCCCGGTTCCCTGCCCCCCTGAATCCTCACAGGCAGTCAGATGATGGGCTGGGCCAGAGGCCTTGGGAAAGCCCAGCCGGGTGCCTCGCCCCGAGCCGCTCAGTAAGCAGCTCAGTGGGGGGCTGCTGGACAGGACTCCCAGTGGTGGGGACGGGGTCCCGCTCACATCTCTGGGATTAGTGACCCTACTGGACCCTCCCCAGGTCCAGGCTCTGGCAGAGCTATCTGCTGCTGTGCCCCAGTTCCTGGCACCATGACCCAGCTGGGCTGCAGCATGCCCCGCACAGGAACCCATCTCCCGCCACTGCTC